GTCAGTTTTGTAGGCCCAGACCAGAGAAACAGCTTCCTGTGTAATCAAGCCCTCTACTGGAGCCCAAGCCTCCTGTGACACCGGGTTACAGGGAGGACAGTGTGCTTGTTAGGCCTGAAATTAAGCATTTCATTTTAAAATAATGCCCATTTGTATCCATTTTGTTCAACATAACAACAGCTGCTGTCTGCACCATGACAGACTCGCCTTTTCAGCATGCTATCATATGACATGTATTAATGAGTGTGCCCATTCCCCCCTCAGTTTCTATACGGCAAGTTGGATGAAATCATAAGGTTTTTAGTCGGGGTTTTTTCACATCACCAAAACCATGAGCATTACGCAATGACTTACCGAATAATGTCCCAATAATTCTACAGTATGTGCTTCAAACCAATGCCCCACTGGATTTCAAGCGTTTGTCGTCCTCTGTGACAACAGAAGTTAATTTAAATGCGTGGCTCCCACATCAAGTTAATTTTCCCCATCTAACAGAATAAAAGCAAAGCCACTCTCACTAGCAAAATCTTCCCATTTTATTTCAGAGACGAGCTGATATACAAGCAGTCCGCCGGGCACCGGCAAACTCTGATCTTCTCGACTGGGCTTCTAGGACTGCTGTACCACGGTGTGCGGGGAGTGGGGGGTCCCGACGCATAAGTCCTGCAGTTTGGGGAGTGGGAGCAGTTTGTCCGGGCCTCTCCCCACGCAGGAGCAGGAACAGAGAACCTCTCCTTTGTCGATTATATTGACTCAAGTTCATGATCACCATTTTTGTTTGCTCTTCAAATATTGTTTTTTTTTTTTTAATTGAAAGAGCACCCCCTGGTCCTGCCTGAGCATTGCCGATGGGATGCTGAGATAACGTCCCATTGCTTCTGGTTCTCACTTGTTGCCATAGACGCAAGGGGCATGGGCTTATACTCTGGTCTGTGTGTGCTCCGCAGCAGGCTCGCGTGCACTCGCCAATTTTGTCCATCTTTTTGTGTTTTTTCCCCCCTCTTCCACTACTGTATTAGCTCCCTCCAGTTAAAGTGTTAAAAGACCAGCATTATTTCCCTGTCTTGAAGATTTACATGCCTAATGGCTTATTTATGTAATCCCGTAAACAGAGCCGCAAGGACTGCACTGTGCAGGGCTCGCGGCTGCAGACCGCGCAGGGGGCAGGTCACGGGGGTCTCAGCTGCAGCCCCGATGGGTAGCAGGCCCGTCTCCGCCGGCGCCGTGGCCTGAGGACCACCCAGCCTGTCCCCGAGCCGCGGCATCGCCCGGCGGGAGCAGGGCGGGGTTATAGTTCACCCTTCTGTGCAGAACAATCGCCAGGCTCCAGGACGGAAACCGTTTCATCCTCGAGATGGACTTCCTTCCCTCTCGGGGCAGATGCTTTCCCCTCGGCTTTTTCCCTTCTCTGTACTTTCTCTTCAGCTTCTTTTGTACGGCTCTCTCTCCTCTGCGCGCCAGTGGCGGGCGCAGGGCTGTGGTCCGGGGGGGGGGGGGGGGTTGTCTAGGTGCTGTTTGCAGCTGACATTCTTCCATTTCATCAGACCCCTGCGAATCCTCCTCCTCCTCTTCTTCACACTGGCTCAGAGCTCTGAAAGAGGAGGACTCCACTGTGGCGATCACCTGCTCCTGGGGCTTTATCCAAGAGCGACGCACATTGAAGTGCTAAAGCCGATTCAGAGCGGACACTCCCAGTGGCTTTGAAGGCGGCAGCCTGTTTTGTGTTGAAGGAAGCGCCTTTCTCATGGATGTTACTTTCAAGGCCTAAATGCCATGCCTATCCCCACGCAATGGCAGTAGCGTGTCATGAAACTAAAACCCAGTCATTTATTTGGTGGCTTGTTTATGGCAGCCGTTGCACAAAAGAGCAGTGGTCTTCTGTTGTCTTGTTCCAGGACAGTGTCCCTCCCTTCAGGGCAGGCCGCCGCCGATCTCTTGAGAATACAGAAAGAATGAAAATTCAATACTGAATAAAGCCTGTCCCCGAGTTAATTTTCAGATGTTCTTTGAAGTGCTCTTTTTCTCTGTTCTTCCTCTCACGGTGTGTCAGAGTGGAGGACTGGGTGCAGTTACTGGGCCCTTTTACAGGGTACAGTGTCCAGAGTGCCAGTCTGATTTGTGGGTGTTGACTGTCAGAAGTGTTGGTAGTGTCACTAGCTGTTCAATTCTGTCTCTTGGACTGAGCAGATTCCTAGTCCAGATGCCTAGTGGTAATGCTGTCCAAGTTGGGTTGATGCATACTGGTATAATGCAGTATTCCCAGTTCATTTGCTGAGTTTTTCTTGTGGGATCAGGAATCCCAGACCAGCTGGTGTGCATTGATACTATTGTTCCCAGTCCAACTTCTGATGTTGATTTTCTGGATGGTGGTGCAGCTCTGTACTGCAGTCTTGTCCACTCACAATGGAGTTCCACTGCACGATGGTAAAACAGAAGCCCAAGACCACTCTTTTACACACAAGCAATTCAGCTACAATCTGAATAGGATTGGATAGGATGGTTTTGTAAATGAGGCTGTTTGTTTTCCATGACGTTCATGCAGGCTGAACATTTTCCATTGTTCTCTAACATACATGCATATTTATTATTACATCACAGGGCAATGGTTTCAGAGTTCCCCCTCAAAGCAGCAATCACATAAAAGCAGAATGACATATTCAACTGAGATTTTGAGAGAATACAATTTTTGTACTGTATTTTGTACTCATCATTTAATCAAATTAATTTCCTTTACTCCTGAAGAGAATTCAGACTGACATTTCTTCTTGCATCTGTGCTAATAAATCACATTTCTGGAGAGAAACTTTACAACCCTTTTGAGCACATGACCAGATATCCCATTCATTAAACCCTGTTTAAGGTAATAATGTGTGCTGCTGCTGTCTAGAATAGGGATAAAGTTACATCATTAAGAGGCATTTTAAAAAGGATGAACAGCAATTCCTCCTCTAAAGCAGGGCTGCTGGACAAATAGAGAGAAAAAGCTTTGTCTTCAGGAAAAGCTCCCCTCTGGCAGCTTTATCCTACTGATCTGAAAAACCTACAAACCCCTCTTTGTTAACACGTTTTCGGGAGAGATTTCATGTGCATTGTGCAACTTTGTAGCAACTGCACACAACAAAATGCGCGATAATAAAGCCAGGAATTTTATTCATGGGGAGCGAGAGCACCTCCTCTCTCCCTGCTCTAACGAGAGACTGTGCTCATACAGCAAGCCTGTCACAAGACACATGGGCACACAAGAGAGCATGGAGGCCCACTGTGGTATTACAGAAAATATTAACAAACCATTCTCTTCTACAGCTGTTGTCTCACACTCCGCTGTGTGTGTGTGTTGTACTTCATTTTAAGCTTTTGCACTATTTCAGTACTTCAGAATCGCTACCCCTACAAATCGATACAAGTTCTTGGGCATCTGAGGAAATGTTCAGATCACTTTTTGAAGGTTCAATATAATTATTTTCCAAAGGTATTCCCACACAATTCACCTAAAGAATTCTGCATTAAAAAAAAGTCTGTAAATAAAAGTTCCCAGGCATGGGTTTAATCCTCAGGAAACTGAACTGCGGAAATCTCACTCACACCACTCTTGATTATCTTATTGCTTAAATGAAAATGTGTGCACTTATTTAAAATTTTGGCGTGTCTTCCATTCAGTTTTGTACTAAGCATCTGTTTTATTTAATTACCCACTGGAATACTCTGCTTGTGTATTCAGAGTCCCATATGATTCTGTAACAAGCCAGAGCCAAGGATGCCCCTTATCTTGAAAGTCATAGCAGACCCTTTCTTGAAATTATACAGGCTAGGTCACATCTTAAAAAACTGTGAAAGAATTGCTGAGTGAGCCAATATCTTCACCCACGTAGGCCGTAGCACAGATCAAGAATAACACAAGATCCACCACAGAAACCTCAAAGGCAAATGTTCATTGTAAATCCTTAACCCTGCTGTCAACTCTTACTTTATGTACATGTATAAAAGAACATTTAAGCCTTTGTAAATTACTTTAAAAAAAGCGCTTCTGTTCGGAGAACCTAATTGAAATTCTCGCTCTTAATGATCAAAAGCATTGTTAATTAACCAAATTAACATCACATCATGGCTTTTTAACGCATAACAACCACTGAGCTGGGGACATGTAAATTTAAGCTTGCTTTTGAAGGTTCCCCTAAATTATTAAAACTAATTAAACAGTACTTGACACATTTCATTGGGTGGATACTAATGGTGCACTTCTTAATTTCATACTTAACTAAATGCTTGTTTCTGCAAATGGAAGTGATTACATTTTAATAGGAATGACATCCAGCTCAAAAGACACAAGACAGTGTGAATAGCACATTCAAGGCAATCCCAGAAACTAGACAGGAGTTTTCACTGTATGTTGCAATTTAAATACCAGTTTGGTCCTTTAGACATTAGCATTACTACAGTAAATGGCTAGAATGCAAAGGACAGCCGATAAGATTATTTAAAGTTCTGATTTTACAACTTTGCCAGTGTGCAAGATATTTTCAGAGCTATTTGGGAAGGCCAGTGCCCTCTTGTATTTTTGCTTTGAAAGATTGGCTGGAATTCACTCAGTGTTTTACACAAAGTAGAGCAAATTCTGCTTCAAATTTGGCACACAAAAAAAGATTTTCTTCTCGATAAGTGCAAACCTGGGATTAACACAACCCCACTAAAGAAACTACTGGGGTTTCACAACATGGTTGAGAAAACAAGCTTCATGCTGTTGATGACCCCAAAATTCATTCATTTTCCAACAGCATTCAAACCACATGCAAGTCTCACGATCAGTACCTAAATTAAAAAAAAAAACACCTTTAGCACCCTCTGAACACCCCCCCCCCCCATCTTAAACAGGCACCCCAATAAGGCCGACATAGATACAGAACAGGGCTCCAGTGTGGTTTAAAGAAAAGTCTTCAATCCCAACAATCAGTTTAAGTACAGGATTCCAATGGACATGCATAAAGAAAATACACCTTAATATATTCCTTTTCTATTTGTTTTATTAAAGAAGTCAGCGAAATGTTACAACAAGCTTTTTTAAAAAGCTCTTATTACAGAGTAGTTATGTAATCCACAGACAAGTGGATTCAGCTATTTTTAACAGTCGTTTTAAGAGGGAACAAGTGCAATAGTTTAAGTTACCCAATACTATGGATCACTTAATGAAATAAAACAAAGTAAAGAAAATGAATAAAACATTGCTTATTTAATTCACATTTTCAGCAGTGTTAAATTCATACAGATACTGCACTACCACATCAAAGCATCCGAGGATAGATGCAGCTTCTTTTGATATTCAGACAGTAAAATCATTCTCCGATTGGAAATGCATCTCACTACTATCAGAAAAGAAACATTCAAAACATCCCTGAACGATGTTTGAGCAATAAAGTGGAAGTATAAAATGAATTCCCAGAAAAGTCCAATTCCTTGGGCATTCCCAACAAGAACATAAAGGTGAGGTTTTACCGGCTTGGAGCTCTCAAAGTGAGACCTCCTGCGTGACTCAAACTTGGCATCTGTATGAAGCAGTAAGTTGTCTGAAAACCTTTTGAACGGAATCCATTCATCCAGCATGAGAAACCTGCTTATTTGTGGCAACATTCATGGAGTCTCTCCTGGAAGCAGAGGGTACAAAGCAGAATGACACCCTGGACAAGCTGCCAGTCCAGTGCAAGCAGGCACAGACACACGGATAAACATATCCAGGCTGTATTTCTAAGCCAGAGCAGCCAGTAAAAACCTATGGCTCAATGCCCTGCTAAGTGACTATATAATTGCCGTTTCCATTTCTTTTGCCTATTAACTTCATTTTCAATGCATTTTTCAGCTTCACTGCTCGTCTCCCGCAACAGCAGTTTTTAAAAAACCCGGAATGCAAAGTTTCACTAAGAGGACTCCAACTACATGCCCCTGGCACGGTGGCTCAGAAAACAAGGTTGGTGACCAAACCTAAAACGGAGAAAAGGACCTTTAGTCCTGTACTTGTCACCTTCTTCCACAGTCACCCTGGGCCAGGACAGCACAATCACCACGTCACGTGGCGCACTGACCACTGGACACTGCAGACTGACCACTGCGGAAGAGACTGCACACTGAACATCCCCACGGCCGTTTGACGGCTGTCCTGTTGACGTCACCAGGAAGTCAAAAGGAGATCTCTCCCAAGATGCCCGGAGAAGTCATCTGTCACATCCGTCATGTCCCTGCATCTCATTCACCAGACTCACCACAACCACACGCTCATCTCATTTTCTTAAAATAACTAAAACGCACAACTATGCACGGAACATTGCACACAGCAACACACAAACTGGAATAATTAGGCTATGAAGTCACCGAGGTCACCTGTTAAACAAGGAACACCTTGGCACAGCTGTAGCAGTCCATGTCCTACAGTCAATCTGGGCATCACTAGCAACCAGGTGGCCTGTCTGTTTGGAAGGAGCTCCCTATCTGCAGCTGCTCAGCCCACAAAGCTGCCCTGAAGGGGGGTCTTCTAGAAGGCCGCGGTGCTGGAGGGTGGAGAAGGACAGGAGGAAGGGGGGCTGGCGGCAGATCTGGGGCTCTGCGGGCGGCCGGGTGGGCTATGCCTGACGGGGGAGCGAGACCTGTCTCTGTGGTAGCGCTGGGTGTGCCTGCCTGAACGAGAGTGCCGTCTTCTTGGCGTTTCTTCTTCTTCCTTCTGGTTCCTGGCCGACTGGTGGCCTGTACTGCCCCCTGCTGGTCGCCGCTCGGACAGCCCGCGAAGGGGGACCGTGTTCCGGAGGGTGTTGAGGAGGAACCTCTTATTGGGGCCTCTTAAGGGACACTTCATCCTGGGAAACAGTGAACGAACACAAAACCAATGCATGAAAAGCACTCCGGGGACCACAGATAATTGCACAACGGGCACCCCCAGCACCCCACTTTCTTTTCCTTGTTTCCTTGTGTCGCTACCCAGGGCCAAGACACCTGGCAGAAGCAGCTGCAGCAGGTATGTACAAATTCAATAAAGAGATTGAAAAAAGCAGACATTCCCATTTGAAGGAACTATGTATGTTGCAGCTCTTTACTTACAGTGCAGTAACACCATTCTTAAGCATCTAAAAGGCTCATGGAACTACAGAGGCTGTTCGCTGTTCATGGTGAAGTGAATCTCCAGGAGTGTTCGAATTATTACACACCAGCGACAGTGGAAGACATCAAAGCAGGCAGAGGAAATGCGCCTTCTTTGCTGTCCATTCTACACAGGAGGTTTTAGTAATGTAGATGAAATGGGAAAAAAAGAACATGATATGTGAAGAGACCCTGTGGGAGAATCGCTGCCCAAGGACTGCTGGTTTTGACAGGCTCTCCCCGTGCTCAGGTTACGTGAGCCGGCAAGTCGATGAGCTGTGCTCTTAGCACGAGAGCACACATAAATATTGCATCTCCGTGAGGCGACAAAAAACCCAGCTCAAAGGAAAAGAACTCAGAAACAATGCGATGTGGAGTCTTCAGTGTCTGTCTTGTTCAATGGGCAGGGACACAACAGGTCTACAGCACTCTGTTAATTTAGCTCCCTCATTTCACTCTTACTAATGAAAGAGTCGAAACATGAAATCAGAGGATACCTAAACATCACTCTCCTGAGACGTCCCCGCTATCTGCCAAGAGACTGCATCATCAAATCAAGACGATCGATTGCTTTCTGCCATTCAGTTTACCAACATCTTAATGTGAATCTGTCACTATTAGTGCAACCAGCATATCAGCTCTTTAAAATTGATTTCAGCTAATGTGGGGAAAGAAGAACTGGAATCATCGAATGACCTTGGCTGGAACAGTAACATGGAAAGATATTAATAACTAGTAATCATGCATGAAACCTAACTCTGCTTGCACCTGCAAAATGGACTAAAGTATTATAACAAGTGTGCTGAAATAAAACACGAGCCAGAATACTTGAGATGACCCGTAAGTATCTTTTAGAGACAAGCATGCTACCCTGACATAATCCCTGCTGTCACTGGAAGAGCTATATTATCTTTTTTGCTCATGTGTGCAAAATGTCACCACCTCACTAAGGTGACAACTTTCTAATGGGAAAACATTATCTGACCATTTCTAGGTTTATAATAAACTGTTCAGGGTTTATGCTGTATATAAGCATTCCTATGTAATACAGGCTGTTAAAAATACAATATATCTATCTAGCCCACATCTGGCTTGCTAGGTTGCTCAGGGTGCTGGGTAGCTAATTCATCAAAGAGTCTCATCCAGTTTCTTGCACAACTGGCTTGAAGAAATTCAGGGCTCTACTGGTTACTAACAATGCAAAGAATGTAATACAGTAAACACTCAGTTTAATGGACATAATCTGCTGAAGGGCAATTTTGTTTGTAAAATCAGAAATACCTGACTATCCCTGCAATAACAGAGAAATGCACAAACAATAAGACACATTAAAAATAAATACTAATTAGGTTTAAACTTCAGGAATTTCAACTGTGCCCTAAAGGGGTAGGTCAGCTGCTTAGGATGGGTGTTGCTCGTGTTTCATACTGTATGATTTAGTGAATGTTAGTATATTAATGACACATAAAAGAGTTTGCATACTGATGATAAAGACAAAGAAACACTTTTAATTGGTTATGTTAAAATTGTATGAAAATGTTAAAAACAAATCCAGAAAGTCAAAAGATCCAGAAAGCATTTATATTTGTATATATAGTATATACAGTATATATATATACACACACATCATAAAATAGTGTTTTTGGGCTGAGAAACGTCACTCACAATTTAAAGGACATTGAGCAATAACACACACCTTCCCCCTTATTAGTCCCTTAAACAGGGACATTATGAAAATGGCCATCTGTTTAAACACTTCTTTCTTTATTTGACAAAACTGAGTATTTGATCAAAATTGGTCAAAATGGTGTGGCAGGTTATTCCTGCCAACTGTGGCAGGGAAGTCCCAGAGCACAGCACACTGGCACATGTCTGTGTGTCTTACCAGCCAGCAGGGCCCATAGTCTCTGCCCGGATCCTCCCTCGCTTTGCCTCGTTGAGAAGCTCATCCACAGCTCTCCTATTCAGGAAGAAATCATAAAAAAGGCTTTTATACTGCAAGGCTGTACTGAGTGCTCAACCTTGCTATAGACAGCAGCTCTAAAGACACTGTAGGCAAAGTGTTACAGGGATCTCCAAATCAACATGTGTTACAGAATTTTAGCAATACCAGTTATAACAACTATAAATTTGCACAGCCAGCGTTAAACATTTATGTTATAACTAAAGACTTGCTTTACAGAGTTTAAGATGGATAATTTAAGTTTAATTTAGCTGTTGGGGGTGCAATATCAACCTCTTTTTCTAATATTAAAGCTTGAGATGCAGGTTATAAAACTGTCAAATGATTCTGAAACTGAATGAGGCTGTGCTTTTGTCTCACGCAAATATATTTTTTGGGTTTTGCTAAAGCTATGAATAAAAGGTACGCCAATCTGAATTCAAGACAGACCTCTTGTTCTCTCCAATGCTGCAATCTGACACCACGCTGAACTGAATACAGGACCCTGGTTTTGAGCCAGCTGTTTCACACCATCTGTTATGACACCCATCAGTGACAGGGCATACCAACTGCTGGGCAGCTGTCATCCTCTACCCCAGCACAATGTGCCCCAAGTGTGGATCTGCCCAGCCTGCCTCCTCAGTACAGCCCTCACTGGCAGCGGGGGTGAGTTTATGGCTGAACAGTGCTAGGTGAGCTGCCACCCTTAAGCATTGCGATTGCACTCCAGCACAGCCACAAAACATTTTATATTTCACCGCAAAGTATTCTGAAATGTGCAGAATTAGTACAAATGCTAAATAGATAGATAGATAATACTTTATTAATCCCATAGGGAAATTGATGTGTTACAGCAGTCCAGCCCAAGACAAGCAAAACAGACATCAGAATAGTTATAAAACAAAAGACAAACAAGATAAATAAAAATAAATACATAGGTGTGTGCAAAATGTGCTGATCATAGTCACTGTAAAAACAACAAAATATGTGCAAAATGTGCATAGGTTTATACAGACTGATTGTCCAAAACGTACAATGGAGCAAACATGCTGTACATAGAGGAGCAAATGAAGGGCTAACAGTCCTAGCCTAAGGCAGCGTTATACACCCTGACAGCTGGAAAGACAGGAAAGACATGCGGAAACGTTCCCTTGAACACCGTAGCTGGAGCAGTCTATTGCTAAATGTGCTCCGCTGCCCAGTAACAGTCCCATGAAGAGGACGAGAGGTGTTGTTCATGATGGCTGTGAGCTTGGTCAGCATTCTCCTCTCAGCCATCACCTCCATGGGGTCAAGGCTCATCCCCAGCACAGTGCCAGCCTTCTTGATGAGTTTATTGAGCCTATTTGCATCTTTTGTCATGATGCTGCTGCCCCAGCACACCACAGCGTAGAAGATGGCCGCCGCCACCACTGATTCATAAAAAATGTGTAGCAGTGTTCCACACACACCAAAGGACCTGAGTCCCCTAAGAAAATAGAGTTGGCTCTGACCTTTCTTGTACAGGGCGTCAGTGTTACCAGACCACTCCAGCTTATCATGCAGGTGTAAATGGCCGCCTCTCAGAATAAATCTAAACTTCGACCAATAAAAATGGCGCACTAGGTGCTGGATGGCAGGTTTTCATTGAGTAGAAGCAGGAAATGTGTCAAACAAACGGCCACTGTCAAATATCAGGAATGGTGCTCCTGACTGGCCAGCGGGTCAAAGCATTGAATAAATTCACACCTAACACTAATTTAAACTGGTTTAATAGCAAATCACAATTCCGTATTTACTGCGATACTGCAATCAATGTGTAACAATTAATTTGACAAGTAGAAATGTTTTATGAATTGAAATTTTGCTTCACAAAGCTAGAGGGCTGTAATTCCAAGACTGACCTATGAAGTGCTTGCTGTGGCAAAAACAGCCGAAAAGCAGAACACAAAGCTTCCTTCTGGGAGTCCCAAGACATTCTCTCTCACCCCTACTTATGAATCAGGTTTAAGGAAAACATGTCATTTAATCTAGTGTGGCAACATTTAACAACTACAGTACTTAAATCATTCTGGCCTGGCAAGCAGTCAACTACTTTATACTGAGCTGTATAAACACCGAAAAGTCAGGAATATGGGATAATTATAATTATAATGATTTCTAAACCACCACAAGGACTATATTTACAATGAAAAATTCATAATGAGCTTTTGCCCTGACATCTTTGCCCTTTGAAATGCAGAATCTGTGCTCTGACAGCTACATCTGCTCTTGTCAGCAGTTCTTTTCTAAGTTTGTTTTGGTGGATTGCCATATGGAATAATAATATAATTTACTCATTCCTTCTTAAAAAAAAAAAGAGAAATCTATTCCCAGCTGCATGCCAAATTGAAATTAGCATGTACAGCAAACATGATATGAAGCACCATTGATCTAAAGTGAAAAAACTTCATCAGCAGCAGGTTTTCAGGAACATATACACTACATTATCTACAGCTTTATATTAATTCATTCTTCTCTTAACAAATGCACTAAAACTGCTGAAAAAATAATTAGAAAAAAATCTGTTACATATCATTAATGATCTTCCAAATTCCACTTCTTAAGACTGTAACGAACTTCTGTTCTTAGTTTCATTCCATGGAAACTGTCTAATTAGTTTTGACTGTTAATGTTGTACAAAACTGTGGTTTTACCCATAATAGGTGACAACGTAAAAAAATGTCTGATCTTCGCCAGCTTCCGAGCGGTGATCATAGTAGTGTGCGATACATATCAGACATGTATAGTTACTAACAGCTTACCTCAACCTTTTAGTATGTTCTCCTATTACACGTGTAATAGAAAATTCATTGAATTATTGAGAAATGCACAGGACGTTTTTTTTAACGTGAGTATTTAATAAATTCAGACGATCGGTATGGTTAGTCCTGTAGTAAAATATTTTATTAGAGTATTATAATAAAATGAGCAAGGATCAACAACACAGTAACAGATCAGCCAGTTCATTCAACGTGTTAAGAATTGAAGAACGCAACATTAACAAGCTCTCGGGTGGTATTACTAGTAATTTATTCCATTGTAAACAAACTGATATATGGTAAAGCGCTAACTGCAAGTACAATAGTTCACTAAGTGTTTCGTTAATGATTTTTGATTATTTCGAATTACTCGTATTAATATAAAAGTCATTGGAAGCATTAATTACAGCACATTAAGGAAGCGGTACTGATGCCGTGATCAGCACAGTACGCAGTGATACCTGCTTCAGCCGACAACCAGCGGCCGCGGCTCCAACTCTTTCGAAACCAGCACGCTGTTTCAATATTTAATGTTCAAATCTGTCGACATTTTCCACCGCTGTACTCACTTCTCCAGCTCTCGATCCTCCTCCATTTCAAATACCACACGCCGAGACGAGACGAAACGAAACGACAGCACTCAACGCCGTCTACTCCAACTTCCTAAACAAGAGCTTCCAGGACCACTAGGACCCCTCCGCGATTGGTGCCCTCGCAGATGCCGTACTGCGTCGCCAGCGCTAAAATCGCACTGAGTGATCGCAGAAAACCATTCTTTGGCCTACGTGGCGCTCAGATCATTTTTTAAAGCGACTTCTTGGTGCGGCAGCCATGAATAGGCGGTGCTCCGGGGAGCGATCGCTTAGCAAAGCACCGAGGCGGCTGTGTTTTGAGTCAGGCGCTGTGAGGGGGTGCAGGGCGCTTCCTGCTACCATGACATCACGCCGGCCCCGCCCCTCTCCGGTGAGCTCTGGGCAGGAGGGCGGGTGGGGCGGTTCTCCTCCCCCGGTAGGCGGCGAGGGCGTCAGTCCGCCGTGCGGTCGTGCCCTGTGTGGCTCAAGTGAGTTTTGATTGAGCCGCAGAATTGTCCCAGGTCCGAGCTGGAGTTCACAGAAGCGCGGCGGCGAAGAGGGGGTGGTGAGCACGCTGTAATAGGTAATGTACTGCGGTATTCATTTGTTCGTCCGGCATGCGTTTAAAATTTTAAAATAAGAATGTCGCCGCCTCCGCCACGATTCGAAATAGTTACTTTGTTCAGGAGGACAGAAAAAAAAAACGTGAATTTTTTCAAAGTGTCTCATCGTACTCTTCTTGGGGAGTGTAGTGTAAATTGTACTGCTTGTCAATAGGCGGATATTATTTGATAATACATGATCTGCATGTGTTACTTACACCCCCTTTCTTTAAGTGAACGTGATGGATGCTTCGCTTAGGTGACAAGCCGTAGAAAACAGCTGTACAGTCTGCGATGAACAGTGAGCACTTTCAAAGATGTGTCCCTGATCTGACGTACAGTTCTTTGTTGCCATACAGTATATAGGTTAAACGAGCAGCGAACATAGTAGGTAACAAAGACATTTAGACGAAATATCGATTTCAGTGCTCAATGTTAAACGCCATCTGTATCAAATTCCCCGGTTCCTCACTGGCATTCCTGCTGACAGATCTGAGACGGCGGACTCAGTGCACGCTTTCCTCTGCGTTGGTTGCTTGTCATCCAGCCACGGTGGGGGCACCCCTTGAGTTTCAAGGAGAATGACAACGACTTTGTGTGAACAAAGCAACACCTAGAGAACAATAACTGTTGGTGGACTTCGCTTTCCCTACTTCGACGGCATTGTCTAGTCGCAGCCTGGTGCCGCGAATGAATTGCTCGGAGGATCAGCGTTCTTTGAAATTCATGATGCATGAAAAGCACACGCTGGGCACACCTTATAGCAGTCATAATTTGTCTGTGTTTTAAAATGTGCGGTAATTGTGTCATTTATCTGAGGTGTAAAATGCAAGCCTGCATGCTACACACAGTGTGGCCTAGATTTTCTGAAATATAGTGTGCTCCCAGTGTATAGTGTGCACGCTCTTGCACAGAGACTATAAAAGATGAATTGAACTCCAAGGCTTTTCAGGTCAGTGCACCAGATGCAATATATATATGTTCTGGCTTATATAATGGTATTTTTCATTTCAAGCTCTGTACAGTTGCACTGATGTGGTGTTAAAAGATTTAGCGACCTAGTCCTGGCAGTTTGCGCTCTCTCGCAGTCCTACAGGGTGGTGAGGAGCGCGGACAGAGGTCAGACATCTTGTGTCGGATTGGAGCCTCGGGGTGCAGAGGGCAGATTGGTGTCCGCAGGGCAGTGGTCTCTATGGGGACAGGCAGCTGTGGGCATGTGAGGAGGCTGTTCGTGTGGACAGACGCCCCATGTGTCCACTAACACTAGACGAAAAACCAGTGACCATTTCCGCCGGATTCCTCCAACATGCAGCGTGGATTTAGAGTAAAAGTAACAGATTCCCTGGGAGAACGAGAGACTCGCTGGAGTTATCTGGCATCGAGCTACAGCTGCAAAGTAATTTGTAGGTTGTGTGACAGTTGTAAAACAGATCTTACACAAACTGGTGTTTAAATTCAAACTGCATGCCTGTTTCTCTGAAGAGCCTGGCATGAAGCTTGGGCCGGGTGGTTTGTCTTGAGTCTTGCTTTACTCCGCTCAGAGTTGAACCTTGCACAATAATGTAGGGGAAGAACAAGCCAGGAAAACCAGGCTGTTGATATACAAGGCTGGTTTCATTTCAGAATCTTTGCCCTTGCTGCTGTCACAGCCGAGCTTTGACGGCGTGGTACGCTGTTTTATCACAAAGAAGCACCCTGCGAAAGAACCTCCGCTGCTACCCATAAGCATAACATTCCACAATAGGTTGTTGTTCTGGAGGAACAAATGCTTTTTTTTTTCTCCAGTTTGTGCGAGTCAAAACGCATTTTTGCAGCGTGACCTTGTGCCAAGCAGTGGAACACTTGTCAGGCTCTTTGGCTCTAGGAGCTCAGCACTCCTCTTTTGCCAACATGTGTCTTTTCCACTGACCTTTCCACCTGAAGCCTCCTGTAGCGATCAAGGCAGAGCAGTTTTTTGAGGGCAGGCCGTCTGAACAGCCGGGCTGGGTAGCTCCCTGCATCGGCTTTATCTGGTCAAAGAGATCTCAGGTGACATTGGAGCTGCTAGGGGGTGGCAAGGAGAGAGGGCTGGAGGTCTGGAACGTATACAAGAGTGTTCTGGGCTCAGAATGCTAATGAGGACATGAGTCTTGTAATCCTGCTTCCTGCACAGACCCACTGTACGCAGTGGTACATCAAAGGGGTCCGAAGTGCAATAAATCATCTCTAATAGCAATGAAAGTGGTATCACGCGTTCCAGTCAGTTCTAAGTCACTCTTTGTCAGGTCCTCTTCATCATTAATCACCTTTGTCAGGTGCTCTATTCACATCCCTTATGTTGAGAAAACTTCTTTTTATGCTACAGTTCATTGATCTCCCAGGATGAACTATTAGCTATTAAAAAATTGGGTTCAGTTTCCATTGAAAATCGTCGTAGGAGTGTGTTTCTGCAAAAGATGGAAAAGCACTTGAGTGAAAGGAGAAGAACAATGCAAAATGTCTAGGAGAGTATGTAAAGCCAGGATCCTGTTGTGATTCTTCTGCAGAGCACATTATTGAGCACAGCTTTTCCTCTGTTGTCTCAATATGTTGTTGGGGATAAAGGTATCTGGAAGATCAATGACCATCGTTACTATTAAAGACAGTTTATTGCATCAGTTATTGATGCTGTGGGATTGATTGACTCCTTGTCTCCGGATTGCCCTAATGGTAGCTGTCTCTCGCAAACCACATAGCTGGAATCTGGAAGCCAGATTTATGTTTACTGTGCTACTCTTCCCCCATCAGACTGCAGTCAGGATTCAGCTATTCATTTTCATTAAACCTATTAAATTAATTTCTTAGAGGCTGCCTTCTGAAAGCGAAAGCAATCAAATTTCTAAGTGAAAAATGGCTAGACTTAATGATTATTGATTACGAAGTACACTGAGTGTCTTTGCTCCTCTTTATTGTCCTAATCAAGAGGTTGGGTAGCAGCTGTCACCGAGCGCAAGTTGAAACGCATAATATTACAGAAACGGACCAATGAATCGGCATAAAAAATGAAACCATATCATAACAAAAAGTGTTTAAAATACCTTCCTTTCTCTACAGTTGACTATGAATGGTGAAAAGGATTTTTGACAAAGTGCAAAATATAGACTGGAACTAAAAGAATTCCTTTGAGTAAAATAAACTTATCATTGAAAATTAAGTAAGTAGGCTAATGTCCAATATTGCTTTCCAGTCAGCCGGGGGCGTGATATGTTAAATCACAGCAAGATGCTAAATTTGGAAAAGGAAATGTTTGTTGCTCGCCTGGATGCACAGGAAGGTTTATCCTGTCACCACAGACCTCTGGGAGTCATGCTGCTGCGACACTGGGGATAAAACATTGGCAAACATTGGTATTGTCAGTATCAGAAACAAGGTTTCATTTGTATCAGGTATCCCATTATTTTAGTAAGTGCACTAATGTAATAAAATAGGGGGTGTGGATATTTAAATAAAGATGGGTAAAATTATAATCATAGAATTATAATATAAAAGTTGTGTCCTGACCCCAGCTTGCCTTGTAAGCAAATTATTTAAGTGTCAACGCTTAAAGGCAGCTGCTTTTCTTGTCTTCTTGGACACACTTTTCTATGCTACCGGTTAGGTAACTGTAAAAAAAAAACAGACAACAAGCTTTAGCAGAACTTAGCCCCCCAGCTGAGCTGCTGTAAAAGAGAAAGGGGAATCTGCTTCTTATAAAATGAAAGCCCCTACATTGGACTGAATCCCTTCCTAAAAGGGAGCTAAGCAAATGTTACATATTAGTAAAATTCCTTTCTCCATTCTCCAAATAGCACATCACTGCATGCCACAAATATATGAGAAAAGTATTTTTACAACTATACGACAGAAGTTTCTAAAACCGGGAGTTTTAGAAACAGTCTGGGTGCCTACAATGCCGTTATAGGAGAAAGAAGTCATCCGAGAGTCGGTCTGTTCAGTGCTCAGACTACCTTACAGCAAAGATATCTGTCATCTGCTCTGCAAAGGAGGAGCCCTCACACAGCCTTGTTCTTCTCCCTTCCAGTTTCTCTGGTTCTGTGCCTCAGTGTGTTGCTCTCTTTAACCTGCCTCGTGCCCCAGTTTCTGTCCGTACAACCCCTAAGCAGACGGGCGTAATGACCTTGCCACAGATGATCCGGTCATTGTTAAATATGAGTAAAACTGGTTTGCTACCTGGGTTTTTGGCCCTTGGGACTGCCTGGAGTAACAAGATAATGGTCAGCTGAGCAAATGCTGAAAAAATGGGGTGTGCTGAGCTAATTTTGATACCTTCGGCCCATATGACATGATTATTTGTGAAACTGTAGGTTGCTTGTTATTATATACCCTCCTTATTTGATATGGCTGATTGTATTGTATCTTTTACACCTAGGCTCTCCCCACACAGGGAGAATGCAGATGGGCAGGGTGACACCCTGGGCCTGCTTGTCTTTTGGAACGTCGCAGGCTCTGCAGTGACGCACGGCAGGGTGAGCGCCGATTGGGGGAGAGGCATGTCCCCCGGTGACGTCACTGCAAGTCTGTAGGTGTCTGGGATGTGGTTCACAGGGTTGCTCCTTCACTGACAGCCAAGAGCTCCAGCCCTGATGGACCCAACTGACACTTGTGCACGACCATAGAGCTCCACATACCTCCCTTAGCTGGAAGACCCAGCTGCAGGCAGATTATTTAAACGTTCTGAACATTTAGCCCTTCTGCAGCATGTTAGCAAGTGGTAGTTCGGACACTCGAGTGAGCGAACCTAGTTAAAATAGGTGTCTCGATGCTTAGACCTGCAACGGTATGCACAGCTCATTGACCAGACTGTACCTGTAATGGCAGCCAGTGAATTAGTTGCTCATTCATTCCGGTGCCGAGAGTCAGGAATCTCGGTGCGACGCGGGTTCCATTTAAACTGGTGAGCCCAGCCCTTAGGTCATGCTCTGGTGGAAAAACAGCCCCTTATCTAAATTGACAGGGCAATTAGCAGCTTCATTTGAAAACATCGCCAGTCAATTTTTCAGTGATCTGGCTCTCTGGCTCGCTTTAGGAAGTCAGAGTTCTGGCAGCCCTTTTGCTACCCGCCCTCTCCTCTCCAAAAAAAAAGATGCAATTTGCCGTCCCGTGACAGCCTGCAATAAATCAGACGGCCGGGGAGTTTGTCAGTCCGCGTGAGGCCTGTGGAGGAGACAGAGTGCGCGCGTGCCTGTCAGCCTGCCATTGCTTCAGGGGCGTTCGGTACAAAACCACTCTCTTACACTGTTGCATGTTCCTCTGTTCCGTATTTCAGACTCTTCAGCCCTGCTTTTGATTTCTGGCTCTCGTCCGTATTCATTCCAAAGCAGTGTTTTTTTTTCCTAATTATCTCCGGGAGATATCCTGGAGGAATGTTTGTGAGCATGTTGGCTTTAAATTGCACCAGGGAGACAGAGGACATTCATGAAGAGATCACTAATGGGACAGCTAGCAGGTCTTTAAGCAAATCAAGACCTCCTTCCCCTCTGTTTCCCTTAATTCATTCTGGCGCACGCCTTTAGTTTTGATTCATAAATATAATTACAGCTCTCCGCTGTCAAAGCACAGAACAGCAGAAAATTGCAGAATGCATCTCTGCTCTTTCTGCTCAAGTCTTTAAAATGAATATGCGGTTTGAAGTGTGAGCTGATCTCTGCACTGGCACACCGTGCAGTCTGATGACACTCCTTGCCATCCCACAGCTGCAGATGAGCCCCGCAGAGGGCCGAAGGCAGTTTTACGTTGTGCTATTTGCGTGACCCCCATGGGATTTATATGCTCAGTTCTTAATTTGTGGCAAATGTATTAACAGCCTGGAGGAAAGGCTAATCTTGTCTAACAATGCCAGGAATTATCTGGGACAAGGTTGATACTGGAAGTTTGGAGTGCCTTTCTGCTGCACATTTCTTGGGATTATTTCTTTCTCTTATAACAGCATTGTAGGCACCCAGACTGTAAGACTGTATTCGGGATTCTTGAATTCTGTTGTTTTTGTAAAAACCCTTGTTCTGGGGCATGTATCCTTTCACTCTGACCCTCACGACACCAGGCCGTTTTCTCACTGTTTTTTGGCAGTACAGACAAAATCAAAACCATCCTTAATCCCTTTCTCTTTGGGGACAAGCAGTGCTTGGAAGCGCCCAGGAACCTCTGCCTTGTTTAATCCACAAGAATGGAAACCACTCTGTTGTCCTTTTAGTGCTAGTCTCGGTTTCTGTGGAATATACAGTATGACATAATCTTCAATAACCTTGAGTCACTTTATAAAGTCCCAGAGATACAGAGAGCAGCTATGAATTTAATATTGCAAACCTGATTGACTGTGTGAACATATTTAATCTGGTTTAGAACATTTGAAATTAAAATTTGATAGATTAGGAGCATGAAAATTATGGTACAATTGGTTTGATTGCAATCTGCATAAATATTAATACCTTGTGGAAGCCCTTGCGAGAATTCTCTGATTATTTTAGATGGAGTAGAAATACTATTACAGATAGTCTGCTTGTCTTAGGAAGATGCCTGTGGCAGATGTTACGTCTCTGCAGTTATGCAAAAAAACATCAGATATGAAGATTAAAGGGTGTATTCCTTTAAGTACAGCCATGCCCTCTCTCCCACCCTGCTGTCGTGACAGTCGTACAGCACATCTGTCCACAGATGTGCGACAAGTGCACTCAGTTTATGTAAGCAGTGGAGGAATCACCTTTGTTGTAGATAACAGATTCCCTGTAAAGAGAAAGAAGCAAACAATGTTACAACATTAATTATTGCAGAGATTATCCATTAAGGGGAAGGGATTCATTCTTTTGTATCTCTGCCCTTCTGCTTAGTGTGTGTCTTAGCTCGGCAGCTTTCAGAATGAGATAAGCATGATTTAATACAGAAATTGTCAAGGAGACAACCAGCAGAGTCTCAGTAAGTCTGAGCCATGCCATGCAGAAGGAGAAGCTGAACTCCGGGCACCTGTCTGTGATTTAAAACAAAGTAGCCATTTTTTCATCCTCATTTTGATTTTGCAGTGTTAAGCTGCAGTGCTTTCATCTTGGGACATGACCTCTGTGAAACTGAACAGCACTTAATGAATTGCAATAGCCCAGAGCTGTTTAAACAGATTTCTAATGTAATTGTTTTTGTAAATTAGTCCCATGCGCTGTAATTCCCACATTTTTGTGACTAATAAAAGTCTTTACGGGTTTACTGCATTTAGAGTTATACAAGAAAACACTTGAACTGTGTTTCCTTTCAGACAGTATCATTGATAACCATCTCTAGTTCTTCCTCCTGTTGTTTGGAGGGCTATTTTTGTCCTCTGGATGTTTTCCCTGCCCGTTATTCTCCCAGATTACCAAGTGGTCAGAACCCTCCCGATCAAAAATCCAGATTTCCCGGTCATTGTGCAGTGTGGTGTCTGGCGCCGAGCGGATTTCTGAATGCGGCAGACTGGCAGTCACTAAGCTGTTTGCCAGCATCTTACTGCTGCCATTAAACCGCAAGGGGGGACCCAACTTATCCTGGAATATTTTGGGCTAAGCTTAGAAATTGGTAGGTAATTTTAAACAAATACTGAAAACAGTGGCTGGGTAGTGTCGGGCAGGCATGAATAAATGGCCTTGTCCCCTTTAGAGTCCTCAGGAGTATTCACTCAGGCTGGTGGGCTTGTCTCTGTTTGTGTGTGCCCACATCAGCAAGAGTCTATACTCTATGTGTATGTGTGTATAGCAGAATAAATATTTTGGTCTGTGCCGTGTGTGACAGAAGTGTTGCGGTGAATGTCTCCTCATTTCAACGGCACGTGCGGATTTGATCCAGAGCCAGGTCTGACGCGGTCTGTGGTTTTTGATCGCCGCAGGGCCGGGCCTCGGTATGCTCTGAACGGGACTCAGCTGCCGGAGCGACGGGGCGGGCCGAGCAGAAGGAGAACAGAAGAGGGGGTCACTTCCCAGCGTGGTGAGTGGAGTGGGCTGCACTACACGCACTGTCTGCCTGCTGAGGGACCTCTGTCATGCTTTCACATCACATTGCTGCTGATTTCCTCTACCCTTCACGTTTGTGACAGTTGGAACGAGTTTTGGCTCTGATTGGAAAAGTAATATCCTGGAACTACGGTAAATCTTGAGTGTGATATTGCACCAGGTTGCGGGAGTTGTGAATGGCTGGACCTCTGGGTGGCATTTCTATTTTCTCTATCCATTCACGAATATGTAGAGAAAAAACCAAATTAAAGACACAAACCTTGTGACTGAAGCACCAATTAATGAACAATAAAACTGACATGCTGTAACATCCCTTATTACATTTTGTGACCTAGAAATGTTACCTTCACCGCTTTTAATTTAATTTGAGCCCCAAATGAAAGCAAACATTTTAAGGTGTCAAATGAAAAGAGTTTTTATTTTATTTATTGCATTATGTTTTTGTTTAAGTACAAGATAATGGCATTATCTCTCTGCACAGAAAAGCATAGCCTTTACACAAACACATTCACAGATCCTCGTTGCTTTTGGTGGCTTGCTTGAAGCAGTCCTGTGTGTCTGAGGTGGGAGTGGTGTACAGTATGTGGTGTTTGTTTCAGGGACATCCTGTGTGGGATGAAGGGTTAGTTCTGGGGCAGTACTGGTATCAGATTAACTCTGACTGTGGCAGCTGGGTACGAAAGGTACTGTTCAGCACTTTGCAATGGAATGCAAAGCCTCTGCAGCGCTTCAGGTCAACACTTGTGTCTGTTGCTGCTATATATTTGCAATCAGTGAAAGCAACTTGGAGACAGCACACAGTCTCATGATTTACTCTGCACACAAGTGCTCTTTTCCATTAGTTTATTATTTTTTTCAGATGCACGAATATTATTCTTTTTTCCAACAGAGCTTGGGCCTTGACTGATGTGATTTGCACTCACTAAGGCATTGAGGATCCTGCTTGTGCTGGAGGACTTCTGTTCTATGAAGTAAAACAGGGGCTGAGAGAGAGAGTGGGCCAGTGGCGTTTATCTCCTTTGATCAAAGGAGTTATGTAATGTAGATTATTGCCAGACGTCCCACAGCTCTGTCTTATCCAACCCGGCATCATTCCTGCAATGCAAGAGAGCTGGGAGTTGGGGGTGGGGGCGGGGTGTTTGGTGCAGGACAGCCCAGTCTACAAGGGTCCAAAACAAAACATGCAGGCACTTCCTGAGCTCCCTGATGCGTGTGAGGTGAGAGGACAGATCATTTCCACAAAAGGAGCCTTTTCGCACTGAGAAAATGCCATGGCTGAACGATGCCAGTGTGGCCATTGAATTAAACCTTTTATAGACTTAACGAGCCCCAGAGCCTTGTTGCAGCAACTCTGTTTGTCACACTGCTGTTTCAGTCCAGTGGGGGCAGGCAGGGAACTGAAGGAATCCTCCAACAGAGCAAGCAGTTCCCTGCCCTTGTAGACCCCAGAGCTAAGCCTGTTCTCTCCTTCTCTCCGCCTGTGGGCTGTTAATTTAACAGTATGCCAGCTTTCGCTGTAATTGCAGTTTGTGCCGTATAACACTGGGAGGAACTGGAGTTCAGGCCTCCGCAGGATGTTCTTGTGTTTTTATCACCTCTGCGCTCTTTGCTGCCAGATTGACCTAATTAGGTGCTTCAATGGGCCAATTTTAACAAAGTAATGCCGTAAGTAAGGCTGAAAAGAAAGGAAGCCCTTTCGGCCTGTCTCGCTCTTTGTGGTTACTCAGTAGCTAATCGATCCCAGGGATTCATTAAGCCTTTTCTTTAAAGACAGATTGAGAGAAAGTTGTCCACTTCAACAATGTGATTGGGTGGTGGATAGTTCACTACAGGTGCCCTTGTTGGATAGCAGCATTACCAGCTTGTAGACTGGGCTTCTCAGGTCTCAGAAGCTCAGGAAGGCTGGGCCTGGGCAGTACTAGGATGCAAGACCTGGAGTGAAAGCTCGCTCTTGGGTGTAAGTGATTGTTTGGTGCTGTAAGAAGTGGTTTTCCTACATTATTATATTACATAATTATAAAATTATATTAAATAATAAAATTACTGTGACTCTCATCATAATATTGCTCATAATATTTATCTTAATATTCCTCAGAATCCTTCTAGAATTGCTTTGTGGAAAAAGCACATTTCAATATCCTAAAGCTTGGCAAGGAACATGATAAGAAACTATAAAGCCCAGGGAGGTATCATAAAACATGGCACACAATGTGATAAACCACTTCAAAGCAAAATAAATTCATTGAACATGGGAAAATTAACCAGAAATTCAGCATTGTACAGGTATATTGTGGCAACTTGTCATTAGAATTGAGCTGTTGATGAACTGTTGTAGCCTATTGAAGGCCATGGAGCTGTTTAGGCACAGCTCTCCAAACTTGTCATGTTCTGACTTCTGCCCTCTGACCTCAGCTTCCTGAGAGAGGGAACCATCCACTGTTGAGTTCCATTAATACCTGGCTGTTGTCCTATGGACTTGTTCACTGATAGCAGAAGCATCTGCTGATCTGTTAGGGAGATGTGTTTAGGTGTTCCGCACGGCACTGTGCTGGGTCTTTGTGGCTTCTAAATTGTTTGTTTTTCAGGGCTTTCCTAATATTACTCCAACCTGGAGTGTTCGAAAGAAACATGCCACTCTTTAATTTTTTGAACCAAACAGTGTTAGTTTCTTTGCTGGAAATGAAGTCAGTTCTGTTCCACTTGAAAATTAGAATGTGTCTAATTGAGATTAAATCCTTACCTTTCAAACCCCTTTCTGAAAACCCTTTCAGAACCCCTGTTACTCTTGAGTTCGTTGTTCACCATTAGGTAACTGATTCTGTAAACAGAAGGCTACACAGGGTTTTGCAGCCTTCTATGAAGAATTGCCTTGGCCAGTGCCAATCCCAATTCCAATCCCACTGACACCAGTGGCGCAGAGCACTGGGATTGTACTATAACAGCTGTGACAGATGTGTCAGATGTTTGCCTTTCCCTGGTGTAGGAGTTCGGTGCTACAGGGTGTGTGTAACTCCTGCAGTCCCAGGCTGGCTGTCCTGTGGTTCTGTTCTGCGGCCTTACACTGCAGGCATTGGAAAGACCATGGTGGTGAAATGGGCATGATTTAATGGAAGGAATTAAGAGTGATTATGCTGCTGTTGGCAGATGGGTTTCGGAGTGCGGGGGCTGTCAGACTGGATTATTAGAATTGCCTGGCTCCTTTCCCTAACCCTGGGCCCTGTTTTAATGAGCTAGACAACTGCCTGCTCGAGTCCTGCCAGCTGAGATCTTTGTTGAAAGAGTGCTCTTCCGCTACCTTGCTGGATTAGCTGGATCAGTCAAAACCGTGTTTGTAAATCGCCCGGGATTCATTTCTCTCGCTTATCTGGGTCAGGCATCGAGCGATTCAAGGTATTTATCATTTAATTAGTTGCGTTAAGGAGACATTGAAAAGGGACAGGTCCGCAGGCTGGCACACAACGGAATGGGATAGGGGGCTGGCGGTCAGCCCCATTACATGGTGAATTCCAAACTACTGACATGTGACCCATCCCTTCTAAAATATGAAGACCCCCCCCCTCGCCCCCCAGCCAGACTAACACTGAGTTCCTGAAATCATTAGGAAAAACGAGGTGCTAGTTTGCCCTGCCACTTGACCTGAACATCACCGAAGTGTAAAGAAGCTTGACAGGAGACAGAAGCTGAGAGATGGACCAAATAGAAAAATAATTAGCTCTAGTAGACAGAATGTGGAAAGAGGTGTGGCAGGTATGCTTGCTAACAAGGGGCATATTTTGAGGTGAGAATGTTTGTCATGAATGTCAGCACAAATATCCTCTGGTGGTTTTTTTTTTCTTTTTAGAAGGCTAGTATGTTTTCACATGGACCACTGCAGTGGGTCAGACGCAAACTGCTTTTACTCCTTACATTTATTTCTGTGGTGTTGCCCAGATGTCTCCATCAGCCCCGGGCCCCCGGTGAGCGCATGACCGTGCTGGGTAAAATTCCCATACAACACATCTTAGTTTATGGGACAGTGTTTATCAGGGAGCGCAGCGGAATGAGAGTATGGCGATCAATGTCTTCCTCGTTTATTGATATGTTTGCTCTGTGTGTGCTGACAGTTTAAAAATTATTATCTTTGAGGGCTGTGAACCCCTTTTAGGTACTCCACTGTCTTTGTTTTTTTACCATGGTAAATCGCTCAGACCTTTCATGTTTGGCCAGCTGCGTTTAGGAACATGCAGGGTTAAATGGTGCTGTTGGAATCTGCAGGGTTAAAGGATGTGGTTTGTTGTGGATCGCTATAAATAGATCTGCAAAGTGTTTGTTTGTGCACCTGTTCCCTGGCTCGGAGATCACTGGAAGCTCAGGACAGCTGCAGTGCTGCATGATGGGTACTGAAAGTAAAACATAGGTTGATAGTAATTGTTCACCTGAAACTGTGATTTTTGTAACTGAAAATAAGCTCAGCGCAATGTTGTTAAATTTAATATGAAGTATCTGTGATACTTTGCATACTTTGAGTTTCTTTACTTCTTACCAAAAGCACAAATTCAAAAAACAGACAATGCAGGTTCATTATTTGAGTGTGTTGATTCATACTCCTCCATGTCATTTTGGTTCTGTATCTTTTCTTTTTTCATTGGGATTGCAGCAGTTCCACAGGAGAATATGCCAACCTTAAAACACAACAGCGATGAAGGCTGTGTGTCAAATGGGGCTCCAACACTGCTGCAGACGTGAGATCCTTTCTTCAGACCCAGAAGCCTCCCCTTTGTCATTGGAGGTGTCATGGTGAAACTAACATTTTTTTACAGATGCACCTTGTTAGTGATGAGCAGTGTTGTGACTTGAATTCTGGATAGCTCCAAATAGCTGGATTGTGTCTGAATTTAAGAACGCTTTGCACTCTGTGAACCCCAGGAGTTTGTGTTGCATTTGCACAGAGAGTAGTATACCTTGTGTTCTCCCAGCAATGAGGCTGCAGTCTGG